TGGGGAGATTGAAAAAATTCGGCTCGCAGAGCCGAATATCTGAAACGCGAAAAGAAGCATATTGGTGCACTTTGTCTCACGTTGCGTCGCGTCGCGTTGCGTTTGTGCGCGCGACCGAGCAAAATTTTGTCGACTCAATTCGTCTCGATGGTCGTCGATGGTTTTTGTACGAATGTACAATTTTCGGACATATAGATACGAATGAGTAAAATAATCTAGCTAATCAAGAGCGCGGAGAACTACTATCTTCTCACGCATGAAACGTGTTTTGAAACGTGACACTATTATTTTGAGTTCAAGTCGCAGAAGTCGCAACCATCAATCGGCGTCAATTGGCGACAGCCGATCGATGAAGTTTTGCGCCTTGACGTACAAGTCGGCTGCTTCGTCTAGAACTGCTTCTTCTTCCATTGACTTGACTACGTCAGATCGACGTTGGAACAGGCCGAACTGGATATATCGCTAGCTCGGTCGTGCATTATGCATATGGGACAAAAGAAACGCGTTTACAGCTTGGATATCGATTTACGACACATTACGTCTATTATAAGTTCCGCTCAAGTACGAATTACGGCTCGACCGGACTTCTTTATTCTGAACTGCTACATGAAGTTTCGATTGGTATGACGTATGTTCAGTCGAGGTCGAAACGTTGATTCGCTCTCACATGCGTGCTAACGCTACTAATATTTACTGAAACTTGCTTATTATCAGATAAAACTGAATAGAACATAGTTAAGCAATTTAATTTGCGTCAATCGAAATTCTTCTTAGCCATTATTATTATTGTTGTTGTTGTTGTTGTTGTTTATTTTTTTATTTGTATTTTTATTATTATATTCTGTTTTTCTTCACATATTTGGGGGATGCAAAAATTTATCTTTGGACTTCCAAAAAATTAAAGATATAGATATTAAAAAGAGTTACAGAGAGGATGACACCTCGTTAGATACTTGAAAACGAATTAAAAGGTCAAATCGATGTTGTTTATATTATTTTTGTATTATTCTATACTTCGAAATTATATAATCTTGAAGGAGGAAATATGATCGCGCGAAATGTTTGATTGATCCTTAATAAATAAATTATTGTTAATATTGAGATTATATATTTTCAAAACTTATATCTTGCGTTGGCATATATTTCATCTAGTTATCAATTTTAAGCGTTAAATATAGTGATATGTATTATATATTATCGTTTGAAAAAAAAATTATGTACTCAAATTTTTATGCGAATGTAAAACATATTAACGTAGTATGAATAGAAGATATTGAGGTTGAAACAGCAATAATTTGTACCTACATCGGACTGTTACATTATTTACATTGTTACATGTTACATTGTTTAATTGAGGCAGAAGGAAACGCATTTGCGGGTGAATTCGGATCAGAGAGTGGTCTTATCGTTAACTTGTTGCAATATACTAGACGTTGCATATTTATATATCTCAGCAGTGATGCACATATAGTAGTTACAGCGTGAGAAAAAAAATATAAAAGGAAAAGAAAAAGCAGAATTACGATATATTTTGTTGAAGAAGCGGATTATTGAAGCGACAATATCGTATCTAAAATATCGATCGCGTTAGCTAATCAGAGTGGGATAAGAATGCAGCAGATATTCGTTCAAGTTTAAAGTTTACTCGTAGCCTCGAAATAACTTCATTGGGAAGTTCTCTAACCAATCTATAATTGATTTTTCCTCAATCAAAATCGAGATATTAATTGTTTTTTTTAATACAAGCGATCAAATAAGTGAAGTATTTAGTAAACTGAACTTTATACAATTATATAGATAACAAAATTACTTTTCCCGATCAATCTTAAGTGGACTTTTCTTTAATAGAATTTTACTTCGGGCTTTTTAGTTATAAAGATATGTTATATTGTCTGCTATGACACTTATATCTCTGCTGTGACACACACACACACACACAACAGGTGTAAATCCGACTGTGCAACCTTCACGTGGTATACCTTGGGTAATGCTAATGCCGGTGGTATTTTAACTTTCAAGTCCCATAACTGGAAAAGTTCTTATGGAAAGAAGATTTGTAACCAATGTTTCGGAAACGTCTCAATGTCAGCTGTAATAAAATATGTAACAAAAAATAGGGGGTTCCATCTAAGATTTTTATGTCGACCTTGATAACGTTTCCCAAGGTCATTCCAAGGTCAAACAGTTATCAATATCTTTTTTTAAGCCCTACAACTTTTGTTTCAATTCAAACATTGTTTTAAACAATTATTATTTTTTGAAATAATTAGCTGTTCTGAAACTTTGGCAGACATATATATATATATATATAGGTATATATATATATATATATAGGTATATATATATATATATATATATATATATATATGTATATTCATTTCTAAAAAAAAGCCTTTCAATTAGAAATTTGGCTTTGCGTGAGATTATAAGCAAAGAAATAGTAATTAGTATGATGGGATGTGGATATAGAACGTAACAAGCAAATTTTATAATTAAAACC